AATCGTTCTTAGCTTTGTCTTGATAAAGCCAAGGTCTGCCCAATAAAATGGAATACGATAACATAGAACTCTATAATCGAAATACAATATAATCAATTTTGTATGTCAATCCTACAATTACAGTGGCAATATTTTGTAAGATTTCCATTGGCTTTATCCGACTATGATCTGCCATTCGCAAGACCAATGTCGTAGGTAGCAATTGCTTTAGATCCAAGTCCTCCATTGTATCCGCATTCATTAAATTCACATTGGAGCCACCATCAACTTGTACCCCTGGAATTAAAATGCCATCGATTGATACATCGATTGTTGGTGCTTCCAGATCTGGGTTTAAGCTAATTTCATGAATTTCTTTAGTACGGGAACTTTGTCGTATTAGCGCTAAATTCAATGTAGATCAAAATTTCGGTGCTACAGCCAAAAGTTGCTTCATTATAATTGGAGGTTGAATAACATCCAAATCGTTTAGAATGTCATAAGATTCTATATAGAGAGTAATTACCAATGCTCTTTTGCATTTCATTGGTTTCGATTTTACTCCGTGAGGTAAGATATTCTTCTGCCTTGGACTCGGAATTGGAACAATAGCCGGGGCTTCCTTGGAATTCTCGCCTCCGAGAGGATCTTTCAATGGATAGGACGTTTCTCGGAATTGTGTAGAGATTAAAACTGCTTGGAACAGAACCGAAGCCTCTGTAATTGAGACCTCATTGGGTTGTGTCACCGAGTTAGGTCTCATACTGGGTATGAAGCCCATAACACGACCTGGATTAGATAGTCTCGACAAATTGGCACGTGGAACCAAATTAAGTTCCTCAGTCTATTGAAGTCTCAATATTGGGATACGTCTCAATATTGATATTGGTTCGTTTAGTCCCATGGATGGCGCTACTTGCTCTCCTGCGATTGGTTCATCCATGTCCTGAATTGGATTCTTGTCTTTTTCTTGGCCTTTGGTAAGCACTACGTTCACCACCTCGATATGATGTATTGGTGAGTCTCGTTGAATATGACCTTTGTCTTCTGCCGGTTGGCTTGTTTGCATTTGCTAGTCCCGATTATTATAATTAAAGGGCACATTGTACTGTTGATAAGTGTGACCAAACTGCTTATAATTTCCACATATTGGAACATAGTCATCACTGGCCCTTGAATTAGGACATTCACTTACATAATGTCCGATTTGTCTGCAACGATAGCAACAAAGTGGTCTCTTGCCAACTCCTTTAGGGATAATGGGTGTTTCTATTGGTATATAACACCTAGGTCTGTTCCATGTCGGATGAGTAAAGGATCCTGATTGACCCATTGTTACTGTAGACTCTAGCATTGGCTTCGTCATGGATAGATATTGATGGTATCCTGGTTGGTTCATTGCCAATCCGTGAGTATGGGATACACCTTCTTGGTAAAATTCAGAGTTTAGGAAATTGGAATAATTCATATTTTGTTTATTTGCTCAATTTCCATTCTAGCCAAACCTATTATTCATTTGTACTTGATTGACATCCCACGAAGTTGGTTGAGTCATTATCTAGTTACTGAGTTATTGTTGTTTCCGTAAATTCCAACAGTTGGTGGTAATATGCTTGCCCCCACAAAAGGTACATTGTACAGTCATTTGGGGGGGGGGGTGAAGGACATTCTGTTACTAAATGACCTTGCTCCTTACAATTGCTGTACCAGACATTAGGACACATATTGGTTGGTTTATACTTTTTTTCTTTATCCTTGGCTAGATTCACAGCCAATTCATCCATTTTTTTCGTCAATATTAACAGCAATGACTCATTGGGATCCCTTGATACTAATGCATTTGGCAATTCCTTCGTAGGTATTGGTTTTTGATATGTCGAATAAGGTGCATACGGTTGTGATGATGATGGTGGTACAGCTTGCAATGGAATGGCATCCACTATTCTCTGTAGAATTGTACCATAATCATTCCTTCCGAGATAACTTTTCGATGCGTCATTCTAATTTGTCATTTGATAACCTCCTTGAGATGGAATCATCGTGGCTCCAATTGTTAAGTTTTGGTCATAGTGACATTCTTCCCATACTTTTGCTCGCTCAAGAAATGATGCAATGGTGGCTGATTGGGCCTGCTTTACAAACATCTTCAATTCTGGTGGGTGTAGTCCATTAACCAATATGGACAACACAAACGATTCCGGCATTTGGTTATTTGGCCATTTTCGAAGTATATCTGCTACGCAATTGTAATATAACTATACCGCTTCCCCTGGTACCATTCTGCTGTTCATTAATTTTTTTCTAAGACATTCTTCAAAACCAATTGGTCGAAAATGGGCTAAAAATGTATTTTTTAATGCCTCCCAATTGATAAATTGTCCCACATGTTGGCGATTATACCACTCACACACTGTGTCTTTCAATGACGCTGGCAGCCATCGCAACCAAATATCTTCAGTTCTGCCATTATTAGCTACATATGCTGTAAGAAACTGAGACAAATATTGATCGGAATCCACACCCGAAAATCCCCAAAAAGTAGGTAGTGGCACGATACTAGTCGTACGATCGCCTACTGCACCCATTTGTACTGCAATTGGAATGGCTGGGCTTTCTGACGCCATTGAATTTCTTGTTCTACTAAACTCCATTTTAAAATAATCTCTACTTTCCCTTATTGTAATTTCCGAGCTCTCAGTGCTCCTCGATTTACTGTTATTTTCCGCTAATAGTTTTATTAGTTGAATTGTAGGTGAAAACATCGGATTTTGAAATACAATATAGTTATCTTTATTGGCGACCAATTTGTGCCAATCTGAAGAGCTACTATTGCTCGTTTCAGCAGTACTCTCTACTGGAAAAATACCCAATGGAGTACCAAATTCTTCTACGCCTCCTTCTCTTTCAGTTAATGGCCTCAAGATTTCTACTAAAATGTTAACAAAATTTCCCGTGAGTGTTCTTGGCGATTTTTCTAACAGTACATACGACTGCAAAATTAACAGTCTGTCCGGTTCTTGATATGTTCAGATGCACCAACAAGCTTGCAACCATGGTTTAATCCAATTCTGTCGATGCTTCCTTTTAAGATTACGTTCTTCTTCCTCTCTAAGCAAGTTCCTTCTTTGCGCTCTTCCCTATCTTTCTCTCAACTGATTTATTTTCTTCGATGTAATGCCCTCGTTCTTATTAACCATAATCTTGCTTCAAACACTATTGAAATCGTCTTCCATTGCCAATTTTCTCACACGTTTGGTAATTAATTTCTAACACTCAAAGCTATTATCACTCCCCGACAGTGGCGCCAAAATGTGATTGCTCGTTTTACTTATTCCAGAAGAAACCTCCCAAAATAAACCCGTATAGGGAGATTCGAATACGGGGAATGACTAGTTGCTTAAGCGTTCATGTTAGGGTCACACAATCAATTACCTCCTGAATGTATCGTCTCTATTTCCAATATCTGAACACACAAAGAAACTATAATCTCCTCCTTCACCTTATCGGTCTCTTCCTTACAGCAATTCAGTCATACCAATAACTATTATTTCCACCAATATATTCACCCTCATAATCTCCAACTGTAATACTGCGCCCTCATAGCTTTCAGCACACAATTACCCTCATTCCAATCACTAGAATTCTTCACACAGAACCGAGCTCACAACTATCACAGCGATGACCCTCGACTCATGACTATCACAGTCTGGCACCTTAATTAACTTCTACAACTCCTATATACTTTCCCCTAATTCTCCAGATTTTAACCGTAATTTTGTAATTAACCGCTTTTAAGAACTAAATCACTCATCCATCCTCCTGAATTTTCTATTATATGGACTATTAATATATTTTACCAATATCTTTCAAAAATAAATTAATATCTATTCTACACTTATAATAGGAGATTCTTCAAATAAAATTGCATCCAAGAGTTATTTTGCAAATAAATTTGCTTCTGTCATTTTTATCCATAATAGATAATTCTTTCCATCAACAACCAATGGTGGAAATAGAAGAGCTTGAAAATGTTGGGATGTAGTAGTAATAGTTGAAAACATAGTTGGAGCAGTTGAAGATATTGAAGCATTCATTATAAATAAATTTGTGAAAAAAAATACAAGATCAAGTCGAAAAAGGTTGAGAAAAATATATCTTAAAATGTAAAGCCACATAAAATGATAAAGTTAAAACTTGAAGTAAAAAATGTTAAAAAATTTGAGGATTGTTTTTTTTTTTTTTTTTTTTTTTTTTTCCACAAAAATAAGGATCTATGGTGGATTGCGGTAGAGCATGGCAACTTGGCAATAGGGTGCAGTAGTTGATGACAAGATGTGGAAAATAGCAACAATGTGCAGTAATACAACAACAAAATAGTACATTAGCAGTAGTAGCAATAATACAATAGCAACAATACAATAGAATAGTAGCAACTCAACATAGCAACAACATAATAGCGGCAACTCAACATAGCAACAACATAATAGCAGCAACTCAACACATCAACAGCAAGTTAGGAAAAAAATTGAAGAGAAAATGAAGAATAAAGTGTACATAAGTTTTTAAGAATTAAGACTAGTGCATAAAAGCAATTGAGCTGATAATGTGTTGATAATGTTTTAGAAAGACGGACAAGAGTAGCTAGAAGTAATGTAGAAGTAAAACACACACACATACAAGAGAGAGTTTATTGATATGGTTATCTCACATATACAAAGAGACATACAAGAAAGAGTTTATTGATATGATTATTTCACTTATACAAAAAAAAAAGGAAAGAAGATAAACAATTTCTCTCCACTCCATTCCAAACTTTGTAGCTATAATAAATAATAAGGAGAGTGCCAGCTAGCTACATTTATTGCTTTCAATAGAAAGGATTGGGAGGCAAAAAAGCAAAATGAAATATAACAAAAGAAATTCCAGCATTGAAAGTAGAGAGAGGGGTGAAATGTTTGCACACGAAGATGGGAAGGAAGGGAGGCAGGAAGGCGAAGAAGAAGAAGCAAGAGCTACAAAAGTTGCGAGAGGGGGGGAGGGAGAGTGAGAGTTGAAGCACAAGCTGCAGCATCTCTCTGTTTCACTGTCTCTGTGTCTCTGTCTTGGTGAGTCTGAGGTGTTGGTGGCAGCGATGCTTGTGTGGGGGGCATGAGTCCATACCGAACCCGATCTCCTTCTGGTTCTGGTTCTGAGGAAGCGGGAATATTGGGCGAATATGATCTGAGATGCTCTCGGTGCTCATGTGGGTGGGCCGAATTCAATTTGCTGTTATTGAAGCTTGAAACCCTAGTCCGAGGTCCAGTGTCTGTCGCGTGCTGTGTCATTCTCTCCATCTCTCTGGATGGTGGAACGGGATGATGGGTTTGATTGAATGATGGTTGGAATGCCTCTCACATGCCTGGTGATGCATGAGAGGCCACGGAGGCTGCGTGCACGTGAAGAATTTTGTGGGGATTTGGGTTGGGGTTGGCTCACAGACTGATTCTTGGGTTGGTCCTTTATGCGCCTCAGACTTTTAGGGTGCTGGTGGAGGTAGATGCAGTCTGGTGTTGGTTGCTTGGCTAAATTGCAACGGAGAAGGAGGAGGAGACGGAGGAGGAGAGTGTGCCAGCTATGGCGGCCGCCCCTGTTGCGCACCAGCGCAGGGCAGCAGCTGGTGTAGCTCTTCCGCAAGCTGAAATCAATTGGGACAGGTGGGAGGAATTTTTGTTCGCTTTTCGTGTCTTATAATTTTGTAGGGCTTTCAGTCAAGGATGATTGATTCAAGAACAGCGCGGCCTGAAGCATGTGATCCCACCCCCCCCCTTTTCTTTTCTATTCTGTCCAATTTTTTTGGGCTGTAGTGTAGCGTTTCATTTTCAACGATTTATATTATAAGTTGTTGCTCCCGCTTCGTCTCTTATTTACCTGCAATTCTTGGTACACGGGTTTGATCTATCCAGTGGTATTATCTTTCGGATTCTCATTCTGATAAAATCGGGTGTGATAAATCTCAAACCTAGACATCAGATATTTATGGGGGTTCGTTTTATGGAATTCTGTTTTCTACTTGTGTACTGTTGTAAATTTTTAGGAGCTGCCATTGTCTTGATGGTATTAAGAAAGTTCATCTCCTGAGATCTTTCTTTCTACTTACGCTCTCAACCTGATTCTGGGCGTAGGCTCGACAAGACCAAGTTCTTCTTGGTGGGTGCTGGCCTCTTCTCAGGGGTTTCGGGACTCCTCTATCCCATTTCTGTTATCAAGACAAGAATGCAAGTGGCGAGAGCCGATACTGTTCACACAACAGCTCCAGCACTTTTCAAGCATATCCTCAGGTCTGAGGGCGTTCTGGGACTTTACAGAGGTTTTGGATTGGTAATATCTGGAGCAATTCCTAGTAGGGTGGTTTTCATGACTGCTCTAGAAACTACCAAAGCTTCCACATTGAAGGTGACTGAAAAATTGGATGTTTCGGAAGCTACAGCAGCTGCAATGGCCAACGGGCTTGCAGGACTATGTTCTTCATTGGCTTCTCAGTCCGTTTTTGTTCCAATTGACGTTGTAAGTTTGTTGATCTGTCAATTTTTTGACATTGCCAGTTTTAAAAGCTTAGTAAACTCATTTTCTGCACCTTCTTCAGCTTGAGGAAGAGGTTAGGGCTCCTTGCTTGTGTGGATTACAATCAAAAGTATTTCTTAGTTACGGAGACTGAATTCTTTTGTTTCAGTTTCATTTGCTTCTCTTTGTTGTGAATCTTGTTTGAGGCATTAGTAACGTTGTTTTCATTGCATAATTTGTTCGATTCATTTTCTTTGGTCTCCCTGAATGTATTCGCCGGTTTAATGTTCTCCGAGTTTTGCATGTCTGCAGGTGAGTCAACGTTTGATGGTGCAAGGTACTCCAGGGTCACATCAGTACAATGGAACTATGGATGCTATTAGGACGATTTTAAGAAATGACGGTGTTCGAGGACTGTATAGAGGATTTGGAATGTCAGTGCTTACTTACTCGCCATCCAATGCAGTATGGTGGGCAGCATATGGATCTAGCCAGCGTGTCATTTGGAGGTAAAGCCAGTTTTCTTCGTCATTTGATGGATCTGGTTTGCTGTAGCATCTTTAATTACAAATTTGGCACGAGTATCTGTCGATAAATGTTTCTTCACTGTTGATATCTCTAGCGCAGCTAAGCTTGTATGATACGTGCAGTGACCACCCTGCAGATTTCTTACGTTGGAATTTATCATGATCTGCTTCATGTGGTCCTGATCATGTGCAGAAAATTGGGGTATGGAGGCGAGGTAGAGAAAGAGTTACCTAGTACTGGTGAAGTAGTTCTAGTCCAGGCATTAGGAGGCGTGATTGCTGGGGCATGCTCTGCAGTCGCTACAACTCCTATGGACACTGTTAAGACACGTTTGCAGGTTTCTATTCTTCTACTGCAGCCTTTCTGGACTTCCATAGAGCGCCATTTTTCCTGTCGAAAACTATCGACTGCGTTTATCCTACGTGTGTCACAAGTCTTGTTTGAATGGTTTTATCATCCAGGGTTGACTCAAAGATGGATGATTTGAATTTTCATCTGTGAGATTCTCTGCCACGAGCATGCAAGGATGTCAATGACGGTAACTGTCACACTTTCAGGTGATGGCTCATGAAGGAGAAGGTCGGCCAACTATCAAGCAAACGGTAAAGCTCCTGCACAAGCAAGAGGGCTGGCGTGGTTTCTACAAGGGACTGGGTCCGAGATTTTTTAGCATGTCTTTGTGGGGCACCTCAATGATTACTACTTACGAGTTTCTAAGTACGTTAATCATTCCTTTTGCTTTCTTCTATTCTTTGCATGTCATTCATTTACACACACACTTATATATATATATATATATATATATATATATTCGTTCTTAAGCCGAACTAGTAGAAAGTAGAATTCTACTACAATTTGTTCATTACATGCCCTTTTAGCAAAGTTCACGAAATCCTCTGTATTGTTCATAGTTATGTTGATTGCATTGGCCTTAACCGCGCACGTTGTATCGTTTATATTTCGTGATGGAGGCAATCAAACCTTATGCTCGTGATTTTTTCGTGCAGAACGTCTGTCGGTGAAGGATGAATAATGTTTCCGTCTCTTTGAACTTGGTAAGCACGGCTGTATAATATTGAAGAGGCAATGAGGGTGAAGTGGATAGATATCATTAGGCTACGTTCTATTTCAGGAAATTATTTGTGGATCAGACAGCCTTTCTAAACTTCAGGTATCCCCAGAAGTTAGTCTCGAATGGCTACATGTTAGCTTCTCCATTTTGAAGACGTACTGCAATTCGTGGATAACAGGTCTCGGGAAAGTAAGAATTAACTGGAGGATATGTTTGGGCAAGTTCACTTTTTAGCAGGCTAAAGCTTGTTATGCTTCAACATCCAGCTGCTATTGCGGTAGTGGCTCCATCTTATAGTCGCGATATCTCTTCTACGAACTTCTAGAAATTTTAATTCTTCAGCTGTCATATTAAACCATTTGAGATTTAAGCTCAACATTAAAGTTGAGATTTTGGCCTTGAGCCATGCACTTATCACCTCACAAAGGCAGGTACTGGAATTCTTTCTGATGATTCATTCGCTTTGCTTGTTTACTTGGCAAAATATTATGTTGATGAACTGGTGTATATTCAAGGGAAAATACCATACATACCCTTGAAATTTGCCAAAATATCAAAAATACCCATGTATTCTAGATAGTATCAAATCTACCCCTCCCTTTTGTGATAATTTCAAATTTGCCCTTCAACGTGACAAGCTATCTATTTCCTGTCTTTTTTTAGTTTGAATTGGGGCCCAAAGCGCGTGACGCGCAAATTTGGGCCCCAAATCTTTACCTCATATATTGTGCACCTCACGAAATCTACGCAGCCGCGGTGTATCACACCCTGCAGCATTGAGTCTACCGTGGTGCGCCATCAAGACATCATTTGCTCATCTGTGTGCAATAGCCTCCATCGTAGCTGCATCCACTGTTGTAGCTGCCGCTTTCGCTGCGGCTTCATCCGCAGTGTCGACCTTAGAAGCCACCTCCGTGATGCATGAGAAACAAGACAAAACTCACCCGATCACAAACCAGGGTCGAATTGCTTCTCACATGAGGCGCAGAGCGTGGGCTGCAGCATGTGTTTTAGGTGGATAGATTGCAGCAACGAGAGCATCGAAATCAGGATCGTCCCTCCAGGATCGTCGGCTTCCACAATGTATGCGGCAGGCAGGACATTCATTGTTCCTACGAGTATTTGCATTAAAACAACTTCACTACCAAGTGCTATGCTATCTTTGATGTATGTCTCTCAACGAATGATAATAGCTGTTAATTTGCAAAGTTTGTGAATACGGTACTGTAAAACATTAAGGCTGATCTATACTACGACACAATTTCCATCAAATCCTCAAACTCGAATGGATCGTTTGTGGAACACATATTCAAGTGCACTCAATCATTACAATTCCTCAGCCAGTAATGCATGTCAAGTGCACTCAATCATTATAATTCCTCAGCCAGTAATGCATGTCGGGCACAAGTCCTAAGATTTAGAATCAGTGCCTACGCGTGAAGTACGAAATTACTACACCAGCCCTCCAATGATCGTAGGATCCACCACAAAAGACCTTCCGGATTCTGATCCTCGATTGTTCATCAACCAAGCGAATCTTCACTGCCTGTACTGCTACAGTGGAATCTACTACCCAGACAACCCTTGGCCGCTTGAGATTCACAACGGCTGGTTCTTCTTCCCATGGCACCGGATGTTCCTGTACTTTCATGAGCGTATTTTGGCCAAGCTGCTGGACGATGACACCTTTGCACTTCAGTTTTGGAATTGGAACAATCAAACACAGGATGAGCCACACCCAATTGTCTTGTCAATTTCATGTGCAAACCCAAGTTCTCCCCACTGGAGCAATAAGTGCAATAAATGTGCTGAACGACAGTTAAGACAATTACAGTGTGCCTTTTATTTCAGGACTTTTTGACCAACTCAATCAAGCAAAGATCTATACCAAAATAGATCTACTAGGAGCATACAACTTAGTATCAAAAAAGGAGATGAATGGAAGATTGCTTTTTGAACTAGATATGGACATTTTGAATATAATATCATACCTTTTGGACTCATGAATGCACCAGCCGCTTTTCAACATCTTATGAATGATGTTTTTCATGAGTTTTTAGATGATTTTATCGTTTGCTATTTAGACAACATTCTAATCTATTCTAAGAACACCGAAGAATATGAGCTTCATGTTTGTCGCATATTACAAAAACTTAGAAATGTAGGATTATATGCCAAGTTGGAAAAGTGTGTATTCCACACTATTCAAGTTGACTCTTTAGGATACATCATTTCCAACGAAGGCCTTATGATGAATCCCAAGAAGATTCAAACTATCATAGATTGAAAGATTCTAAATATAGTATGAGATATGCAATACTTTTTGGACTTTGCTAATTACTATTGAATCTTCATCAAGAATTTTTTTCAAGTTGCAGCTCTACTTATACGTTTGAATTATAAAGACAAACTCGAGTGGAATAAAGAAGTAGAAGCATCATTTGAAGTTTTAAAGAAGGAGTTTATTTTTGCACCAATTTTACATTGCATTGACTTCTCCAAGGCATTTTTTATGGAAACACACACGTTAGATTTTGCTATAGGTGTTGTGTTGTCTTAAATGGGAACAAATGACAAACTCTACCTAATAGCTTTCTATTCAAGGAAATTTTCAGTAGCTGAGATTAATTATGAGATCTATGACAAAGAGCTCTTTGCAATCGTGGATTCATTTCAATAATGGTGTCATTATCTAGAAGGCGCCTCAAGTCTAATCATTGTGTATACAAACCATAAGAACCTCGAGTACTTCATGTCAACACGTGACTTGAATCGTCGTCAAGCCCGTTGGAACATGTCTTTATCTAGATTCAATTTCAAGATCACTTATCAACTCAAAAAAATAACAAGGTCTATCGGATGCTCTTTCTAGACATTCTTATCTTGTACCAAAAAAAAGAGATGCATCTTTTGATCAACAAAGATCAATTCTCTTGAAGTCCAAGCATTTTCATCTTTGAGCTATAAAATCAACATTGACTATTGATTCAATATTTGTGAAGCAAATTTAATCAAGCATGTCCTCTGATCGTCTTGTTCAAGATATCAAGAATACTTCCTCTAAGCCTTATGATACTTCCAAGTTTGAATTCAAGAATAATCTATTATATTTTGAAGGACGCCTATATGTTCGAGAAGGTGAAGCTCGATTATGTGTTTTTCAAGCTCGTCATGACTTTCCAGCAATAGGATATTGTGGGTACAATAAAACTTTAGAATTAATATCCAAGGATTTTTGGTGACTACAAATGTGGAAGGTAATCAAAGATTTTGTACAATCTTATGATATTTGTTCAAGATCAAAAACTCCTCGTCATCAACCTTACCGACTTCTTTAGCTGTTACCCATTCCAGAACAACCATGGTCTTTTGTTTCTATAGATTTTACCACAGATCTTCCAATCTCAAGTTCTTATGACTCTATATTCGTGATAGTAGATCGTTTTATCAAGATGACACATTTTGTACTATATACAAAATCTATCACATGTGAAGAAATAGCTAAGCTTTTCATTGACAATATCTATTACTATCATAGATTGCAAAAAGATATTATATTAGATAGGAGGATTCAATTTGTATTAAGATTTTGGAGAACCCTATTCAAGTTTCTAAAGGTGGATATAAAGCTTTCTTTCGCTTTTCATCTTCAAACTCATGGGCAAACGGAATGAGTAAATCAAATTTTAGAGGAATATTTGAGATGTACCATCAACTATCATTAAGATGATTGGACAATTCTTTTACCATTGGCAGAGTTTGCATATAATAATTCGATATATTCTTCCATTCAACAAATACCTTTCTTTGCCAATTATAGTTATCATCCATGTCTTGATACTTTTGACTTTTTAAAATTTGATAATCTTATGGCAGACAATTTAGCAAATCGCTTATCAGAGCTTCATACAACAATGAAGGTACAATTAAAGGAAGCTCAAGAATGACAAAAGACCAATACAGATGCCTATCATAAGGAGCAACTACAATATAATATGGGTGACAAGGTATGGTTACTTTGTCGTAATATCAAGACTACTTGTCCTTAAGATAAGTTGGATTATTGTAGGCTGAGACCTTTTTCTGTTTGTGAACAAATCAATCGTATTGCTTATCAATTACATCTACCAAAGTCTATGAAAATCTACTTTGTATTTCACATGTCTCTTCTAGAGCCATATAAGATAGTGAAAATCTTGGAAAGAAGATAATTGCCACCTCTTCCTATAGAAGTGGATAATAACCAAGAGTTTGAGGTAGAAGAAGTCTTAGACTCAAGGTGGCGCTGAAGTAGGTTTTAATATCTTGTTCATTGGCATGGATATGATATTAATGAACGCACATGGGAGCCATCAAAGAATCTTGCAAATGCAACAAAGAAAGTTGAAGACTTTCATCAACAACATCCATCAAAACCATGATAAAGAATAACAAACCTTTGTTATAAAAGAAACAAGATCAAAGGAGAATAACATTCTACCTTCTATCTTTCATTGTAACTTTTGTGTATTTATGATGAGATGGAGCACCAACAACCAATAGATTCAACTCAAGAACTTTCATTTGCAGACTTATTAGATGAGACATTGCGATTGTCATAACCTTCAAGACGATGAAATCGACATGAAGATCTTCATGAACAACATATCTTTTCTCGAATAGATGGCGAGATACAACGTGTTTGGTATCACGACCTTCGAAGAGACTCCTGATGTTTAGTGATTTTATTAGAGGTAGGAACAACACTTCACGATGTTCCAAATGTTTTATTTGAAGGAAGTTATGAAGGCTTAATAATGACCAACTAACATGGTGGTCTTCTTGCCCTCGTATGAGATACTATAGATAGTTTAGACAACCAATCAATTATCTTCAAATAGAGAAAAGATTGGAGTATGTAGCAAATACAATTTGCCGCATCTTGGACTTCTTCATCATATGAAGACCGCTCCTCGTGGAACTCATCTCTAGAAGGAGGGATAATATCACAGACATATATATTTATCTCAATAGTTACTTATAAGATTAAGTAGAAGTAGGTAAAATAGAATAATTTCATAAAGTCTTCTAGAGAAGCTTCCTAAAAGCTTCAGAGGCACGATTTTGACTTTAGATGTATTTGTAGGTTAGAAACTTGGCCTAAAAGCTAACCATATCTTGGTAGCTTGTGGAACAAGTTATCTCCGTGTAATAGCTTGTGGAACAAGTTATCTCCTTGTAGTAGCTTGTAAAACAAGCCAACTATGTGGCGCATATATAGATAACATGCCTTATAAGATAAGACATATGGCTAGCAAAGTCAACACATGTTGGAGGTCTTATAGGACATCGCCACGTAGCTCTTAGTTAGATAGTATATAAAGAGGCAAGAGTGAAGCCTTCTTCACTCTTGTCAATGCCTTTCTAGTCTTAGTCTTGTTTC